CGACCGTCGCGCGAATCGCGCGATGGTCGCGCGATTCACATTTGACCGAATCGCTCCAATCGCAGAGTCTGACATCGGCCATTCAAAAGGGCGATCAACAAGTGGAAAATGCTTCCAAAACCGCTCGCCACCGAGTAGTTTAACCGTTCAATTGATTCTGCTAACAGGGGTTCGTTTGCCAATTCACGGGAGCTACGACGTGCTATATGCAGAGCATTCATTCAATGACAAAACACATAGAGGTGAATTCCTCGGCAAATGAGGAAGAAGATCTGGTGAAATAAGGCAGGCTCAAACATGAAACCTACGTCAAGCAGTTGATTATGTAATAACTTCGTATTCTCGGACAAGTTGTGCGTCGAGAGCATAGCAACAATTCGCCTTTTCAATATAAGAGTACCAAATAATACCGGCACAATCGGCATTCCAATGAGGAGTATGGTTGCTGACACTTTCCACTCAAAAATGGAGGTGTATCCGGATATTGTTGCGATATCGATATTCATAATGCGGCAACCGTTGCTTCAGAATCAAAACAAGCTCCGACGCTGGCTGATTCGCAGAACATGCTATAGCCTAAGTCAGAATTCATGATAGACAATAAAAAAAGTGTTTTTGGAGCTCCCAGCAATACTCGAAATGCTCACAAATATGAGTATTGATGGTAACAAAATGATGAACATAGCAAGCTTCAGAGAATGAGCTGAAGGGTGGTGCCTTCTCAACACATGATATCTGAAGTAAAACGAAAACAGCAAAGAGTACAACGTATGCGTATAGCACGCTATCATCGCGCAAAACCTGAAATGTACAAGTTCCAGATTTCATGACCTTTGCAACTCATGACATTTACTCTGCAATATCAGTCGGTGTGTGGACATCGTACTTCAAAAAAATGGTACACTCATGGTGTTATTCTTGCATGACTAGGGCTTAAGCGGGAAGGACAGACATTGAAAAAACTCAGTATGTGTCTTTTCTTAATGGGTTTTTTTCTGCACTCCGATTTGCTTATCACATTTGCAGGATCCGAGGTATTCCAGAGCAACTCCTATGTTAGACCTTTTCTTCTACATTGGGCCACCGCAACTGCACCATATATATTAGATTAGTGCTAAAGTAATGAGGCATTCAGGTAATATTTTCTAATTTTTCACTGAAGCGACGCTTTCTACTCATGTGCATACACGAAGGATTGAGCTCCAATAGCATTATCGCTTCCAATACGTAGCCCACCGATTCACGTAGTGGTACTGACTCATGTTTCCAGTCGACTACGAGCCGTCGTGCAACCCAAATAGACACCTATACGGGTTTATCGAGTGAGTATCTCGCAAGAAGGTAAAAAACCAGGTCAACCAAAGTCAGCAATTTCAATGGCAAATTAAAGCGAGAGATTACGATAAAGTGTGTGTGCAGCGTGGAAGTACATGCACCAGTGGAAGCAGTAGTCAGGGGCCGAAGGAAAGCGAAATGTGGCGTTTTGTGGCCAAAGGTGCGCTAGCTGCAGCGTACTGGGCTTGCCATTCCTTCCTGTGCTCAACATCAGCAGCAGCGTCCTTCGATTATCATTTTGATGAGGTATTCCGCTTTGAGTGCGTATCCTATAACTTTCCCATGGAACGCGTTACCAATCAAAGCATGGCCTTTGCTGGTATGATGGTGGCTATCGGTTTAACATGTGCAAACGACCTCTTAATTGGTTGCTAGCTCGTCCATTATCGGAGGTCAACGGGCAAAGAAAGGGGTCCCATTTTGCGCGTTCTTGACGGATTTCTTTGCTTTTTTCGCCACTGGGGCATTATTCAGCATCTCCCTTCCACCATGAACCCAGTCCAATCTTATCGTGATCCCTCGCTTTATGATTGGCTTCTGCCCATGAGTCATCAGCACAAACATATAGAACCTACATCAAGAACTGGCATTCAAGTTAAGATGGCAAGCAGCGAGATTTTGTTACCATGATTTTGCATAGCCTGATTTTGCATAGCCATGATTTTGCATAGCCTTATAGAGAAGCACACGAGTGTCTACTGCTTCCAGTAACGCTCTCATCCACAATTAACTAGGTGTTTATAGATGGACATGGGTAGAAAGACCCGATAACAAGTGGGTTCTGTGGAAAAGAAGATAAATAAGGAATACGACATGTTCGACATACGTTGTAAAGCAAATCTGTGGTCCTACAGTGCGACATGGTCCATGTGAAATAAATATCAAACTCGCATCAATTGGAATTAATCTGAAAATTGCGAAGTATTCTTGAGGAAACTCAAGAATCAGTGTTTCTCTCACCTTTGCTGAATTATAAATGATGTCAAACACGCACAAAAATCTGTGATAGCTGCGTTGCCAATCAACATAGAATACAACTTAATTTGAGGTGGCGTATGATAGACTACTAGATAGAAGAGCGTTGCGTTAAACAACATGCCAAGTAAATCCCATATTCCATGTATAACGACTATAGCTAGCTCGCCGCTCATCAGGACAAGCACACTCTCACAATTCGTCCTAAAAGCAATAATTGGGCGACTGGAAGAAATGTGAAATGTCATTGATCGTGTACGGACAAAGCGTGTTGCTCAAGAGGGGCTTGAATCGTAGCCATGCTTTCCGAACACAGGTCCTGAACGTGGCATTACAGAGCCTGCATTATTTCTGGAAAATAATTTGAACTTTGTAATGCAAGAACAGCTCCCAAAATTCCTCCACCTAGTTCTCCCAGTCTTCTCCTCTTATGGTTTGGCTTTTTATGTGTAGAAAATTTGTAAGTTGAAAATGAAAATGCCTAAAGGAAATGGGTGTAAGAATAAAAAAGATGCTCGAAAGGCACGTGTCGTATGATGAATGTCATACAGCCGAGTACATGTCGAGTGTGGAGCCAACCTAATGAGTAATGTACGAAGTTAGTAATTAGAACACGCATCATAACTTTTTCGACAACTTTTACTCTCAAAGTTCAAAACGCACAAGAGCTTTGCGCTTAGTTAAATGAAGCATATAAACTTCGTCAAAGCGAGGCTTCAAAGTTGCATACCTCATTGATTTGGAGTCCAATTAGGGCTGTAAGCTGTCTTTGTTTTATTCAAAGGACA